TATGCACAACCCATATACTCCACTGCGTAACCCCGTTCGGCGTTTTTGATTTCTCTATCTGCATCCAGCGGAAGTTTACAATTGGGAATTCTATTTGCACGTATTGTCCCCAGTCCAAAGATTCCACGAGCTCGTAAATAAACTAAAAGGGGCAACGATGTGTAAAAATTGTCACAGTAAACGATATGGTTTTTGAAATTTGGAATTGTTTGTGACAACCTAATAACAACGTTGCTGGTAGCTCCGAGGTCTGGTGTTCCTGGCACGATGATGTTATCTCCAGCACCATTATATATCTCGAATTGGTACGAATATCCCGTGGTATCGCACAGTACAAACAACTTTATTCCCCATTTATGGGGCTTGTTCGGCATGTACTGGCGTAAATGGTGCGCCATTTTTGTCGAACACATTTGCTCGTCAACACATAACCGCGCATTCTTTGGAACGGAATTGAAGCGTTCATTTAAAATATTGGCAACTCTTCTAATTCTAAAAAGCGAATCATGTCCAGGTTGTCCTTTTTGAATACGCTCCGCTTCATTAGCAAAACACAAATATTTTTTTATCCGCTCAAATTTCTTTAATGGCATACACTGAGGAATTTGTCTAAATCCGAATTCTCCCCAGTGTGACTCCATGTTGGGATAACGAAAAATAGACATGTATAATAGAATTCCGATGTATCGTCGAATCTGCACCGCATCAACGTTGAATTGTGTGTTTATGTCTTTCAAACGTGCGTTTCGATTGGTTTCACAAACAATCAGGTCGATGAGTTCATCCGTGAAAAAATAACAAAAATACTCCATTGGTGTCTTCAGATTCTTTACAGTATACGGCAATGTAGTGTTTCCTCGAAATGCGACTTCATTGACATGCAATTGCATTGACTTTTTTCTCCATACAATTTTTGTGAACTCTGCTGAATTTTTGTCGATTGCATCCAAGCCTGAAAGAAAAAAGAGAAAAAAATTAGTATGGCATTATGACTTTCCGTGTTTTATTAGCATACCTGTGCCAGTGAAGCCACCCGCTGATGGTACTATATGTGGTCCCGTAGCTTCTACAGTTGGTAACGGGGATCTGGGTCTTTTCTTTGGTTTGAATTTAGTGGTTGTCGGTAGTTGTGTGGAAGTTGATGCAATTGGTTCTTTTGATGATAACCGTACGGATGATACTGAAACGTCCATTTGAGTATCCGGATCAGTTGTTGAAACTTCTGGTGATATAGTTTCGGATATTACAAGTTCCGGCAAAGTTAATGTTGCCGTTTCAGAAGTAAATATATTTACATGTGATTCTGAAACACCCACTAAATCTTCACTAACATCAGTGATATTACTTAGCTCTAACGGAGGGTCCATGGAGAGCTCCAAATCAGTGATATTTTCACGTAAACAAGAAGAAATCATCTCATCGTCCTCGGCTGTGAGCACATCCGCCTTGTAGTCATAATCCGGATCGGCTATGCTATCATCATCATCTTCGTAAACTGACTCGTCATCTGAATCCAGATTAGAGTTCATGATTTCGTCGATTTGTTCATCGGTTATTGTGGAAAGATCGTATTTTGTCCTCTTTTCCGCGTCTGTCAGCTCGTGATACCTTTTCGCACCATACTTTCTTCGTCTTTGAGATCTATTATTTTCCATGTTCTACGATAGAAAGAAAGAAATGTATAAATAATAAAAGTATAAATAATACAAATATGTACTTTTATTCAAATACGCGGAGAACTTATTTTACCGTACATCGGCAAGCCGGCCGAAAGGCGGGTATCACTCCACACTCAAAAACCAGTACTAATTTTATATTTTTCACCAAATATTCCAGCAAACTATCAAACACATACTATAAGTACTTACCAAAAAAAAAATGAAATCAATTGGACAACTAGAACTATTTTATTTTACGGTTCGATTACACGTGTTCCAGAGCAATAATTTCTCCGTACGATTCACTTGCTTGCTTACACGTAACTGACCATATCTCTCAATTAACTGAACCTACAGCTTTTAAACCGTTACTGTTGGACGAGTCTATTCTTGCCGAAAAGCGGTGTAGTCGACGTGAAAGCAAATAAATTTTACATTTTAAAATAATTCGGTTATTTTAATGCCGGCCTTATGGCGGGATTACCGATTAAAGGGTTAAGAGAAAGGCACCTTGCAGTTTTTTAATTTTCTTTGCAGAAATCGCATATGAATGTTTCCGTTTCTGCCCCTGCGCAATCAACATGGCACCACTGCTGACAGGACAGACAGCGTATCCAATTTTCGCCTCGAACATCGTTTAAAAAACTTCCATCGCAATAAAAGCACACTGCATCTGGATCTCCTAAATCTGTTATCCCTATTTCTGTGATTTTATCGTCAGATGAACTCTCGACGTCAGACTCCGATGAAGAGGACTCTTTACGATGTGATCGTTTCATCGTTAATTTGGGAATATTTACACCACTACAAGATGGTTGTGAATGGGATAGATCGAATATCACATTTCGCTTTGCCATATTCTTTGATTTGTTCGATAAAGGAGAATTTATTGAATTATTTAGGTTTTCTTTGTATGGGGATGAGGTTATAACTGCAGCTTTTCCTGGTGCTCTTCCTCTTTGAGGTCCTTTTTTCTTGCCTGTCGGCAAAGGTGATATTTGATGAGGCTCGATAAACGTATTCCTTTTTGATTGGTCAGTAGTCCCATTTTCATCATAAATTTCGTTTAATGGAGTGTCAGATTGCGATGCCTCTTCAGCAGCAAGAAAATTGTAGTGTTCGAAAACATTGCGATTTGTGGGATATATGCCGGTTTTCCTGAAGCCATTAACGGCTATTGCTCCAGTTTGGACTTTCAAATAAGCCCTACCAAATAATTCATAGATGTCGAAACGTGTGACAGCCCTCTGATTGATTCGAAGAAATACTCTTAATTTCTCACTATAGTGAGATTTTAAAGGCCCTATGAAAGTTTTATCCAACGGCTGCATATAATGGGTAGAGTGTGGGGGCAGGCACAATATCTCCACAAAATTTTGTCTTGCTAAATCGATAACTTGTAAGTTGCGACAATGCGAATGGTGCCCATCTAAAACTAGCAATATTGGATCACTTTGTGATGGTCTTGTTTTTTCTATGAAGTGCCGGAACCATTCTGTAAATATTTCCGTTTGAATCCAGCCACTCGGATGGCACACAATTTTTGATCCAGTTCCAGAACTCAGGGCAATGTGGAGTTCGAATCGGGGGAGAAACTATCAATAATATCAGATATGCAGATGACACCGCAATCATGGCTGAAAGTATCATCATCATCATCATCATCATTTGGCTCTACAACTCTAGATGAGTCTTGGCCGCGTTTACTATTTCCCTCCATTGTTGTCGGTCATGAGCAGCTATTTCCCACTGCTGCACTCCCATTTTACGTAGATCACTGGCCACTGCGTCCTTCCATCTCTTTCTTGGGCGGCCAACTGACCTTCTGCCATCGGGCCTATCCCATAATGTGGTGTTCAGAAGTCTTTCGTTATTTGACCTTAGGACGTGGCCCGCCCATCTTATTCGGTTTGTTTTAATGTAACGGACTATGTTTTCATCTCCATATATTGTCTGGAGTTCATTATTGTGTTTTATTCTCCACTCTCCTGTTGTTTCTTCTCTACAAGGCCCATAGATAGTCCGCAGTATCTTTCTTTCAAGAACCAGTAATTTTGTCGTTTCCCGCTGGTTCAGCGTCTATGTCTTGGTTCCATCTTGAGAGTATTTTTGATTTAAGGATGGTCATTAAAGAGTAATATGTCCTGTTTCGTGCTATTATCCTGGCTGCCACGTCATTTTCATATTTGTTTTCAGATGTTATGATCGCTCCCAGATACTTAAACTTTTTGACGACTTCGAAGTTATATTCGTTAATTGTTACGTTTTGCCTAACCCTTGGTCTTACGTTCTTCGTAACTACTATGTACTTGGTCTTATCTTCGTTTACCTTAAGACCAATTTCCTTGGCTCTGGTCTCGAATAGGGTGAAAACTTCTTTTGCAGCTCTGGTAGATTGTGCTATTGTGTTCACGTCATCCGCAAAGACCAATAGTATTTTTGATCCTTGTGCGGCAAATCCGTTTGTTAATTGTGGCTGAGCTTTCCTTACTGCATGTTTCAGTGCAAAGTTAAACAGCAGGGGAGCGAGAGGATCTCCTTGTCTAAGCCCGGTGTCAATGTGGAATTCCTCCGACGTGGTGTTGCCAATTCTGATCCGTGCATCTGGAAGACGAGGAATTGGCAGAAAGAAATACTCATGGCTCCGAAACCTTCGTCAATGGACTGGCTTATCAGCTGATGAATTATTACATGCCGCGCAAGATCGAGAACGATATCGGCGAATCGTCATGGATGCTACCCACGCCTAAAACTTGGGCACGGTACTCAAAGAAGAAGAATTTTTGTTTCTAGGGGGAGGTCAAAGAAAGCTTGAATATCTAGGCCACATATTGAGACACGATAAGTACCGTCTGCTACAATTGATTGTCCAGGGAAAAATAGACAGTAAGCGAGGGCCAGGCAGGAGAAGACACTCGTGGCTCCAAAATCTGCGGAAGTGGTTCGGGCTCACATCGGTCGAACTATTCAGAAGCGCCGCAAACAAGATCAAAATTGCCATGTTAATAGCCAACGTTCGCAACGGACAGGGCACTTGAAGAAGAAGAAGGGGGAGGTCATGGCTCTTGAACACAGAGCTCATAGTAAAGAATGCACTTTTTGCCTTTCCGATACGACATTTAATCTCTGGGTATTGTCCCATGACTCATTGATTCTAATTTCCAAGTAGTTATACTGTGAGACACGATCAATTCTCATTTGGTTCACATACAGATTTGCTCCAGTTATGTGCTATTTTTTATTTCTACTATTGCGTGATAGTCACTTTTTTCTTATTTCTCAACCAGTTTTTAATGTTTACTAGAGGCTGTGATTTAAATATGAACTTATTTTCTTTTTCAGATTTGATTAGCTGGGACCACAGTGGAAGTCCATCCCTAAATACTGGCTACGCAGATTTAGTAAAGCAATACGCAGGTTTGATAACATTCTTCGTAATTATCGTTTTACTATGTTTATTAATACCGATATCTGGTTTAATTTTTGCCTGTTTGCGATGCTGTGGATTGTGCGGAGCTAAAGCTAGAGTAAGCAAAAAGAAAAAGGATCTCTGCTTGAAGATTATTCTGGGCATTTTTCTAATAGTTTGCTGTGGAGTGCTTTTGTAAGTATTTATACGTATTATGACGTGTAGTATCCAAGACAAGGCCGAAGGCATTAATTTTTTTGTATTTATAATTTATTTAAATGTGTGTTTGCGGCAGTTCCATACAAATGACAACTGTAATCGAAAATGGGACGAATACGGTAAAATAAAAGTGCTACATTTGGATCAGCGCCCCAGTTAGTTCTACAAAAGGCTCTTAGAATATTAATTGCATTTTCAGACTTTTTTATGACTTGGTGGATTAGATCCCTCCATAGAAGTTTTCTGTCTAAATAAGTTCCGAGATATTTTATACAATTTTTAATAGAGAATTGAATTTGACCTACTTCCAGATGACCTTGTGGAATTTAATGTTTTCTAAAGAAAATAAAAACTTATGTTTTACATTCTGATAAAGAACAGCTTTAATTGAGAGATCAAAATTATTTTTACATATATCCAATAATTTGTGGGCTGTGTAAACTACTACATCATCAGCGTATTGAATAATTTTTGTTGTGCTATTAATACAACTTTCTAAATCCATATTATATAAAATAAATAGTATTGGGCTTAATATGCTACCCTGTGGAAGTCCTATATTTGTTAGACGTGTTGGAGAGATGGAATGGTTGATTTTTAAAAAAGTTGATATATTAGTGTACAGTGTCCTCAGAAAGCTAGCTATGGTGATGGAAAACCCGATGTCTAATAGCTTTTTATGCATAATGTCCAAGTTAATGGTATCAATGCAGAGGAGACATCAAGAAAAGCTGCCATAGTATACATACTATCAGTAAAGTTTATTAGTATGGATAAGACTAAGGCAGTTATGGTATCTTGAGCTGATTTTGATTTTCGAAATTCATACTGAGATTTTGGGAGAATATGTTCTTCCTCTAACCAATATTGGTTAGAGCAAGAGTTAAGAAACTAAGGATATTGGTCTATATCGACCCCTGCATAGAATAACATTATAACTAACATTTTTGGCGATTTTGAGTTACAGTCTTCTTCTTGAATAACTTTTTACGCTCTATCTGCCAACATGGTCGGTGGGGCTATAACTGCATTAATAAGAAAGATTACGAATGTAATAATACCGTAAATATAAAAAAAATTGAATTATTTGTAGAATAATAGAGTAACTACAGATAAGACGTTGAACCAAATCAAATTTTCGTCGAAAAATACTGTATCGTACCATAGTGTATCAAAATAATTCTCATATTTTAAAAACTACACCGTAACTGTTGTTACAATTTTATTCGCTGCATTGGCTGCTAAGTTCTCATAATTATGCAGGTAGATACTACATGTCGTGTGTCAACATTTCGTGGCATTATTCTGAAAATATTAGGGGAAAATAGACAGATCTTGATTGTTTCCCGCTCCCAATGCTTAGTTTGCAGTTGAATAGTACACAGTGCAGGTGTTATTTTTTAATACATAACGCACAATTATTTTGAGGTAGGTCATTCCCAAAAAGAGAGAGAAATCCATGCACGCCTTAATAGAGAGACGTAAAAAGAACCAAACAGTTTTTATTCCCGAGCAATGGATAAGCTTAGAAAGATGTGCAAAAACAACAGGTAAACCGTATGTGGAAACTGAACTACACAAAGACAATATATTTGATTTTAAAAACTTATAACAACATTTCCAAATTGGTATATAAATGAAGAAAATGAAAAAATCAGAAACCAACACGGCAGATGCGGTTACTTGATGCACAAATGGGGTAAACGATCATCCCCACTCTATGACTGCGGAGTGGGATGTCAACCACAAACCATCTGTCACATTACAGAACAGTGTCCAGAGCATATACCCTCCAAGTAAGGTAACTCCCAAAGACAGTTTTGTGAGAGTTTATAGCGCCAAATACGGACGGACCAAAAATAATTTCATTTGGCGTCAAATTCAAAACGTTACGTTCAAATCAAACATTCAAAATTTTAGGCTTCAAATTAAAAAACATGCTCTTTTGATGGAAAGTAAATATAGTGATAAACTAAGAAATAAAAACGTATTGTATGGCAAAAACTATATTCTCTCTGTCCAAAAATATAGTATACACTTACACATGTTTATATATAAATGTATAACATAATATCTGATAGAGAGAGAGAGAGAGAGAGAGAGAGAGAGAGAGAGAGAGAAAGTATAAATATATTATGGTACAGATCTGTTTTCCATTACATTAACAAACCAAGTCCCAAAAACAACAAAATAAAACACAGATATCCTGACCAATTTCTTGAAGATTTCATATTTCTCTGGAACATGTTTAATCTAAAATTCTTGGGTAGTTGCAGTTTGATGTACTTGCAAGAAACCAGGTCTATCAGGAAGCGTGAAAAAATACTGTTTACAGTCCACTCAGTCAAAAACTTCCTATTTTTAGTATCAACTTTACTCTTTTTACGAAATATATCGATAAAGAATAAAAATGTCTAGGGTCGACAAATATTACAAGTTAACCAAGTGAAAAACACAAAAGACAAATGGCAACAGTCACAACAACATTCACTTGCCTCAGTCTACTACGTGACTACGGCAATCAAACGTAGGAAAAGGCTTTTAAAATTGTTTTTATAATTTATGTTATTGAAATATTAAAATGTTTTTGGCGCTCCAGTTTTCGACCTTCCGCAGTCCGGAGTTGGCCGCAGTCCGCCATTTGCCGATCATTGCTCTACTGTTTCGGACCCATTTTTGAATTTCTAATGAGGTGCTGAGCTATCAAGCCCAAGAGGACAGAATATAGGAAAAATACATAAGAATAAAACTCACTAAAGCGATAAATATTTTCTTCCATCCAATCCTTTCCTATTTGATCCGTTGAAAATGAATAATTGTCATTATATATTTTTTGTTTGAGTTATACCTATATTCAAATCTGTATTAAAAATAATCTATATCAGAGTTTTACATTTGTTAATTATATCGACAAACAGTAAACTTTTGTTTAAGTAAACATGAATGCAAAAAAGAATATAACCAACAAATTTTGTCGCAGGGTAGTAGGTTTAGTATTCAATTCTATACATTGAATCATGGATGCCCTATGGATTATGGAAAGAACACAATCTCGAGTACTAAACAAAATAATCAAAGCGACTAAGCAGTTTTTTAGTCTCGCAACGTCGTTACTTACCCGAGTTTTTATAGTAAGTTGTGTTTATTAATTAAGATTGTATTGTTTTTAGATTTGGAATTGCTAGTGCTTTCGCCACTACTCATGGAATAAAAGTGGGTGTCAATCAGTTAAGAGATAATGGTAAAAAAGTCTACAGCGACAGCGTAGGCTATATGGACGATATCAAGGATCATGTTCACTTGTTACTTGAAAACAACTATAAGGAGTTTAGTGAATCCTTTACAAATACGTTGGATGGTAAGTGTAATGAGTAAGAGTAACCTGTTGGCTACTTAGACCTGGCTAGTATTTGACAAACTTTTTACTCAATAAACTTTAGCTTTGTAAGACGAAAACTCCCTGCAATTAATGGTATTGGCTTTTGCTATATTGACTTACCAGTAAAAGATGAAGCTTTAAAAACAAAATTCAATCTCATTACATTATCATCTAGAAAAAAGTCTTGTAGAAATCATTTGCAGGAGAAGCAGTACGCTTGTAGCGTACTGCTATTGCAGGGGAAACATTACATATAGTCCTTAGTCCCGGGCGGTCCTTTGGTGGGCAAGAGGTGCTAAGAATCCAAAGGCTAAAAGTACCAGAATCCATTCTAAGGATAAACACATGAAATGTTAGAAACCTTTATGATTTCGAAAAATTTGTAAATCTTGTTCAGTAGACTAAACGCTTAAATTTGCCAATTGAGAGTGTAAGCAAAATTAAGCGATACCATTAACCCATAGCACAGAAATGGAGTAGACATTTTCTTAATAGCAGAAATCGAGGAATATGTCCTTTACTTTATCCTATGCTAATAAGCGAAAAAATATTAGTTTTATAGCTACGCGTCTCACCATTTACTATTTACCCAGTACAAATATATTGTCCTACTGCTAAAAGATAGTACAATAGCAAAGTCATAATTCTGTAAATTAAGCTTACTGAAACATTAAAAAGCTTAAAATCTAACGATACCACATACATAAAATGAGATTTTAATGCTAAAATTGGTAAAAAAGGTAGATCAAATCTCAAACGCGAAGTGGGGGGATAGGCCGTTTGATTTTTCCCCATGATGCAATATGCTAGTAACAAATACATGTTATAAACCAACCTATATTATATACTTGGAGATAATTCAACACATATAATAAGAAATCACATAAATTATATTCTTGTCTACAAGAGCTAAATGGAAATTGTTTCGTAAACATATGACCAAAATACTAGAAGAACAGAGTGTAAATAGATTTATTTAAGATAAGAAACAATAATGGTAACGAAAGAAATAATAGACCTTATGGAATAAATAAGACAATGTAATGACAAAGCAGAAGAATAGAGAAGAAAACATGGAGAAATAAAACCAAAATATGAGTTGTTAAGGAAATAAAAGGCAGATTGATGTTTAGAAATTAAGAAAAGAAGCATAAGATGTACTATGTACATAAGAATTTTTGTAAAATTGTTAGTAGCAATTAATATTCTAGTAGATTCTAAAACCACTAATATTCTTGTAGATAATAAAGGAAAAGCATATAAATACACATGATCACTGATATAATAGGTACAATTATAAAGAGAACTGTAATATTACTACACATGAACTTATCAATACTAAATTATGAACAAGTTTAATATGTATTAGTGACTTCTTTAGGCTCGTTTTGTAGAGTAAAGTTTATCGAAACAGGGTGTAACATTAGAAATAGACGCTCTCAGAGATTTTTCTATATTTAGCTACGATCTATATTTGGTCTTCAAAGCAGCCAAAGCGCGGAAATCCTGTCTTGTAAAGGTAGGATGTTAAAAACGGTAATAGTATACGGAAAGTGGATAGATTCGAATGTAGTTATAAATATCGAATGGTTTTGTAATGCCCCTTTGTCCGATTCTTCTCGATCGACGATGGTAAATACAATAAAATGTCGAAGTTTTGGAGTAAATCTTATGGTTTTATTGACAGCTACTAATAATTACACTCTAGTTGTTGGTTAGGTAACTTTCTATAATAGACTGCGCTCAAATGAGCTGAAATCCCCAATTTTTAATTTTACAAATAATGTATACCTCAGCACAGAGGTTAATGCTTCTATCATACTAACAAACTTTAAACTATAAGCTTACAATACAATTTAATCTAAGCAGTAATTGCAACACTTAGAAAGTTCAATTGGAAAATATATTAAGTTGCAAATTTTTTTCCTTTTTTAATATGAGGCTCCGTGCAAAAAAATAAAACATCTTAATGAGTATTTTTCATTTATTTAGTATTTTCTCAAAAACTATCTGATACAATATCAATAAACCAGAACAATATGAAGATTTATCTGACCTTCCTGTAACGTGACACAACATTCATCTCAGCCTCGTTTGTTGTCGTATTTGCGCAAATATTGCTGGTGTATTTCTTATTGTCTTACAGCTGCAGCTGGTTATAATTCGATTCCTCAAGTCATCAATATTTTAGACGGGAGTGGAATAAACTAAGAACTTAAGAAAATCCCAAATGCAAAAATCTAAAAGATTTAAATCCGGCAATTGAACAGGCCAATGCTCCGTACCTTCTTAACTTATCTAGCTATTTTGGTACACTACATCTAAGTGATAACGTACATTAATGCCTAAATGGGCTGGTGTATCATTATGCACAAACTGTAAGTTTTGTCTCACATGTACAGGAATTTGTTCAAAAAAAAAGTAACTCTGCCTGCAAGAAGCGCAGGTAAGATTCGCCTGTTAGCCGTTGTGGGGGGAAATATGAAATGATTGTGTGATCATTAACAGAAGTACAACACTACGTCAACCAAACCCCAGAGTGATGCACTATAACTACTTCGGAACCATAACAAATGAAAAATGGACCAACAACTAGGTGATAGAGAGCGCATCAGAAAAGCTAAATCCACCTTCAACTGGATGAGGGCCTTCTTTAAGAGCCACAACCTCTCTCTTGGCCTAAAAGTAAGAATGCTGTGATGCCATGCTTTCTCTGACCTTTTTTATGGGGTTGAATCGTGGACCTTGAATGAAGATATGTGCAGAAGATTGGAATCATTTCAGATTTGGCTATATCAGAGAATACTTAAGATTCTGTGGACTAACCGAGTTATAAATGGGAAGGTACTCAGAATGGAAAAGAACCGAGAAGTACTTACCACGTTTATATCTCGAAAACTGCTTCCTATACCTCTTCTTCATTCCACTTTCCCTTCCATTATCAGTCGTAGGAAGTTGTAATTTTCTCCTCTGTAAATATGTCCTAGATAACTTGTTTTTCTGGTTTTTACAATACAGAGTTCTCTCTCAGTCCCCATTCTTCTCAGCACCTCGTTGTTGGTCACGTGCTCTGTCCAAGAGATCTTCTGCATCCTTCGAAAAACCTACATCTTAAAGGCTTCTACAGGTCTCATACTTGTGATTCCGAGAGAAGGTCGAGTTTATTAGGAATTTTTTTCATTCTTTGAAAAGCGGACCTAGCATACTCTATACGAGCACTCAACTTCGTAGTCAAGATCGTTTGTTATCCATCAACCAAGATACTGGAATTTTTGTACGGGTTCTAACTGTTTGTTGTAGATACGAACATTAATGTCGGCATTTAGTACACGTGTAAGGGCCATTACTTTTGTTTTATTTGTGTTTATATTCGCCCCAAGCTATCTCCCTCTATGGTTATGGCATTCAAAAGTCGTTGCAAACCCTCAGCACTGTCCTCAATAAAGAAGGTGTCGTCTGCATATCTTAAGTTGTTTACATATTTTCCGTTGATTTTTATTCCTTCTTCAATATTTTAGAGGGCAAAATAAATATTAAACAATAGTGGAGAAAGTACACAGCTCTGGCGAACTCCTTTTTTATTGACATTTCTGCTGTCATACGATGATCTATTTTAATCGACACCGTTTGATCCCAACATAGGTTTTTATTAATTGCCATCGTGTTATGCTTGCCGTGAAAGCATATCCTGGATCAGACGTGGCCTCAGATCACAATCCACTGATCGCCAAGATTACCCTCTCCCTTAAAAATATTAAAAGAGATCAAAGAATCCATACAATAGATACAAGAAAACTTAAAGAACCTAAAGTAAAAGACTGCCTCCAACATGAACTGCATGTGAACTGCAACAAATTGAACACAAACACCAATGAGTACCAACGAGTACCGGGATCGACTAAAACATTGTCTACTGGAACCCTGTAAAGAAATATTAAAGACTTCCAGAAGAAGAAAAAAAGAATGGATGAATGACGAGATACTCAATATGATGGAACAAGGAAGACAATTTAAAAACAAGGACAACAATAAATACAGAGAGATAAACCACAAGATCAGGAAGATGATAAAGCAGGCAAAAGAAAAATACTTAGAAGAGCAATGCCAAGAGATCTAAGACCTTCAAAATAAATATGATCTGTCTAACCTACACAAGAAAGTTAAAGAACTAGCAGGACTAAGAAGACAAAATTCCACTCGTGCAATAGACATACAATAGATAGACATGGGACTACTATCACACATACGGACGAGAAAGTACAAAGATGGGCAGAATATATCAATGAATTGTTCGATAATGAAAGAGGAAATCTGGAGCACATAGAACTTAGGTCAGAAGAAAGAGGTTCATGTATTACAAAAGAAGCAATATTTCACGCATTAAAAACCATAAAGAGTGGGAAAAGCCCTGGACCTGACAGAAATCCTAAAAATTTTAGATGCAAAGCACATTGATCTTTTAGTGACACTCTAAAACCAAATTTATAGTTCAGGCGTATTACCCTTCTTCTTCTTGCAGTACCGTCTCCTATCGGAGGTTGGCTATCATCACAGCAATCTTTACTTTGTTGGCTGCAGCTCTGAACAACTGTATTGAACTGCACCCATATCACTCCCTTAAATTTCGCAACCAGGAAATCCTCCTACGTCCCACATTTCTCTTTCCCGAGATTTTTCCTTGGATTATGAGTCTAAGCAGAAAGTACTTTTCTCCTCTCATTATGTGGCCCAGATATTCCAGTTTTTTTCGTTTGTATGGTTTTTATGACTTCGCATTCCTTCCCCATCTTCAGCAGAACATCTTGATTTGTTACTCTTTCTGTCCATGGTATTTTCCACATTCTCCTGTAACACCACATCTCGAATGCCTCAATGTTTTTGATGTTTATCTTTTTCAGTGTCCAGGCTTCCATGCCGTACAGCAGAACGGAGAAAACATAGCACCTTAACATTCTAGTTCTAAGTTTATATTTATATCT